ATCTGCCCCAGCACCCCAGCTTTGGGTGTTTCTGAGGTCCTCCTCACGGTTCAGATCCAGTTTTGTTGGATCTGCTAGTTAGTTTCTGGGTGTTTGCTTTGCCTATTCAGTCATTTTTAAGAGTTTTTCTATGAGAAGGAAATACCCCTACCCAAAACCTGTTTTTATAAGTCTCTGCTTTTGCTGTCAGGATAAAATGAAGCAGCAATTCAACTTACAAATTATGATCCTTTTCTAGAAGTCAGCAAAGTTAAGTACTGCCAGTAAGAAGCAGTTGGCAGTTTGAGGCCCTGTAGAGTTTTACATTAAGCTCAACTGTCTTGTGAGACAGGCTCGTGGTCATTACTATTCACAGATGACTGACTTCCAAGACTGGCTGACTTCCAAGACTGGCTCCAGGCCTCACGTTATGGGAGGCAGCAGGTGTGGGGAGTCTAACCTACCCCCTTGCAGAGCAAGTGCCAGTATGTGGAGGACGGGGCCAGCATGGCTCAGGAAGCAGTGCCCCCCTGCTGTTGGCTGGAGACACCCACAGCCACACAGGGGAGACCTGAGGCCAGTGGCTGAGCTGCTTCAGCTCAGCCACGGAGGGGATACACCTGGCCCAGGGTGTGCCCTCATTGGGTGGCAGGTACCTGAGGAGCTGCAAAGGCCTCGAGCTGATCCCTGGCTCCCCACTGTCTTGCAGAGATGACCCAGCAGGAGAAGTGGACCAGAGAACTGGCCGCCTGGAGGGCCATGGTGGGGGAGCATGACCGCATGCTGCAGGACTGGAGGAAGGCGTGGGTACGCCATGGCGCCAGGCGGGGAGGGGCTGGCAGGTTGGCCTGCGTGCTGCTGGGCAGGAGGGACCCGTGGGTATGCCATGGCACCAGGCGGGGAGGGGCGGGCAGGGTGGCCTATTGAGGGATTTTTCAGGGCCCCAGCCTCTCCGTGGGCCTCCTTGCCTCTTCCTGGCTACAGAGCAGTTCTGCTTTCTGAAACACCCATTTCTTCAGGGGAAACCGTGGAGAGGAATGAGCAGCCTTCGAGGATACCCAAGTCAGGCAGGCCAGCAGGGACAGTGGCAGATCCAGCTGGCTCTGGTTAGATGCCACATAGGCTCAGCCCTGGAAACCTTGTCCAGCGGGCATGCTGCACTGCCTGCTGGGAGTGGGGGAGCCCTGTTCCTAGCACGGAGGTGGCAGACCGGTTCCCACCCAGGCAGGGTGTTCCCAGTCTTGAGTCACAGATACAGGCACTGTAAGGGAAGGCCAGACTTAACCTGGGAGGGGTTGTGACAGCTTGGCATTAGTATCCTGGGTTCAGTGGCCACCCTCCATGCTGACAACAAAGGTTGAACATTTGACCACTTCTCAGGGAGACAGTGGACCAGGATATGAGGGAACAGGTGGCTGCTAGAACCTAAGGTGGGACGAAGGCAGACGCTTGAGGCCCTGGACTGTGGGGGAGACTTGGGCTGAACAGGAGGGGTCATCTGTTCTGCAGGAAGGTCAGAGACCACATTGTTCTTTCAGGAGAGCTGTAACAAGGACACCTTTTAGTCAGGGGCAGTGCTGGCCCGACCCTGAACTGACCCTGCCACCTACGTGCACCCCTCGCCCGGCTCGTTTGGACACGGCCACCAGGCGGAGCGTCTAAACAGCGTGCAGACGGGATCTCTGGGACCACAACTGGTACTTTTCAATTGGTTGTTTCTATATGAATCTAGTAGAGGCATATACTACTAGCCACAACAGAAACTCTGCTTGTTTGGACAAGTGTGTGTGAAGCTGTTTTTTCTAGAATCCTTGCTGTTCTGCTCGTCAGGTCACTCCGTGAGCTGCACAATTCCAGGCTGAACACATCACCAACCGGCTGCTCACAGTGACCACAGCCGGAGACAGTGGTCATCATATATAACTCAAGCCTGTGGCTTCTCCCCACCTTCACATTCAGGCACTTAACCTGAAGGCCCTCCAGCCAGTAGGGAAGGGGTCTCCAGCTGAAGGGACTTGGACTTTAACCGCCAGTGAGGGCAATGGTGAGGTCCAAGTGGGAGCCGATGCGGCTCCGGAACACTGGCTACTCCTCACTGGCCTGCAATGCCGGCTGCAGCTGAAAAAGCTCCTGCCGCCTGTCCTCTTGCAGCTCCAGCAGCGGGCACCCAGCCAGCAGGTCCCCGCACACAGCGGTGTTCACAGTGCCTCGCAGGAGCGAGCGTGTCTTCCTGACTCTGCTCTGCGTCTCTGGTGGCTACAGCCGCCTCTCTAGAGCGTGGGGCCACGACTCAGAGCTGCTCCCCTGCGATCTTAGACGCGGTCTTATCGTGGGGTGACAATTGTTAATGCAATGCCAGTTTATCCTAAAACCAAATGCTTTGTGAAGACAAAGCCAGCGTCTCCGCGGCCAGTTTGTCTGCAGATGCCTAATTCTGCAGCGGCGCGATTTGCGGGTCTGTGGTCTGTGATGGTGTGGATGAGGCTTTAGCTCACTACACTGCTGAAAAGTTAAGGGTTGTGCGTGTGCTGTGAAGTGACCGTATGGGGAGGCCACCAGCACCTTGACACCAGCCCGGGTGACTGATGTCACCCACAGCAGTGGCTTGGTCAGGAGTGAAGCCATGACTGGGGCACCCAGCACGGAGTCCCATGAGACTCAAATGAGCCCCTTGACAACAAAGACTGGCCAGACACTCCCAGAGGCCTTGGCTGAGAAGACCCACGGCCCCCGTGCAGATTTATAAATGTTTTGTAATTCTAGGCTTCTTAGTACAACTGACATTTGATTTTCTCCATATAAATTAATTTGGGAACCTCTGTGAATAACCTATTTTCAAACCTACTGGAGTCACCCAGCTCTAGCCTACTGGCAAAGGGAGGTTGGAAAGTCGTCCTAGGAAGGAACCCCGGGTACGTGGTGGGCGCGACACAGGTTCCCTGCAGTGCTGCCCATACAACACAGCCTGCGTTTCTGACTCCCCACCTTAACTCGCTCACCACGTGATGGCTCGGAAGGGCTGAATTGCTCGGAAGGGCTGAATTCCACAGAACAGTGTTTCTGAAACCCAAACAACGTACTGCTTGCCTGACAAAACAGCAGCAAAATGCCACCAGCTCCAGAGACAGGACTGTAGGATGGAGGTCGGAGGTGGACTTCGGCAACAGTAGGTGTCACCCGGGAGGTCCCGACACACCCACAGAAGTGCCTGAGAGGGAAGAGCAGGATGCACAAACAAGGAAGACAGGAACTGCTCCCAAGCCCGAGAGGTCGAGCTCCAGTGAAATTAAATAATCATTCTTTATTCAAAATAAATAAGCCTTCTTTCTGACAGGAAAATATGAAAGTAAACTTCTCTTGGCCTCTAAGACAGAAACCACATTCAGAATATGTCCATTTACAAAGGAAAAGATTTGTAGATTATCAAAACCAAAATTTAAGAACTTCAATATACAGTGTTTCTTGGAAAAATAAGGAGTAATTCATGTCAAAAAGTCACAGGTTAGAGAACCAGTATTCCTCGTGAGGCTCACTTTAACAAACCCTCCAAGAACCCCCAACTCTGCGGTTGAGAGCCACGTCATGAGAAGCACGTACACCCCGGAGTGCCTTCTGCGGAACCGAGCAAGCCCGCCCGACAGAACGCCTCCCACCGCACGCCCACCTGGCTCAGCTATTTGGCAACGCACAGGAAGTCTCCCAGCAGCAGTGGACTCTGATGCCATGTTTTCCAGTATTTTCCAGACTCAGTGCACTCAGAGACGAAGCTGCCTTGAGACTTTCAGAAAAGGCTCCTGCCAGATGCCCCAGTGCCCATTCGGGAGGCGCAGCCTGATGCCCAGATGCTGCTGCTCATGCCCCTCATGTAGGCCAATGTCCCAACTAAGGAATCACAGCGATACTTTAGGTCAATGAAGAACTGAGAAGAAAAAGGCTCTCAAGTCTTTCAAACCACCCCTCCTTACCCCGAGTACACAAACACGCAAAACGGAGAATTCTTCTCATAAACTCAAGTTCATCATCTGAGAGGTTGAGGCTTCCAGTGAGTCTTCCAGTTCCAGGGCACACTGATTGTACGCTTCCAGTTGTTTCTTCCAGACCTCAACTGGAAACAAGAAAGCAGCACCGCTGATGAACAGGCACAGTCAGCACCGACAGGAGCTGCTCAGCAGCAGAGTCCCCACGCAGGGCCAGCACGGGCCCAACGGCCCTTCCCCTGCGCCACCCGGCGAGCAGCACTGGTTACCCCTCAGTCCTCTCTGACCTTGCCAGACTCCCCCTGGGACCCAGGTGGCACCCCAGGCCACCTAGTGGGTGCCATTTACGCTGCGTCTGAGACAGAGCAGCAACCCAACTCTGCTAATCTGAGAACACCTCTTGGACAGTGGCCAGGCCTTCTGCGACCTGTCCCTCAAGAGTGACCATGCTGCTCTCCTGGGGATTCTGACTTTAACTGCAGCCAGTGAAGGCACGTGGGCACTCCTGCTGACCCAAACCCTCCCTGCACTCACTGTAGTGTGGCTCTTCTTTTCCGGTGGGAGCTGGGAAGGCTTGGTCTGTAGAGCAGCTGGGGCCTGGCTCGTGTGGGCTAGTGAGGGCGGGGGGCCCAGGCTCTGCCACCAGCTCCTGGTGCACATTCTCCAGCAGGGCCTTATATGCCTGTCGGGCGGCCATCGTCAGCTCTACCATCTTGTGGAACTGGTCCTGGGGTGGAGAGGACACAGGCGATGTCTCCTGAGCACAAAGGGGCCTTTTCATACTGCACTGCAGGCGTGCACAGGAACGCGGGAGACACCCAGCTGGGCGGTACCCAAAGCACTACTGTGACAGCAGTGAACGGACCACCCACCCCCAAACCCTCCCTCATACCCCCACCTCACCTGTGCCCCATCGTAGCTGAAGATCCCCACCACACTGACAGGGACGGCTTTGTTCAAGCTGCGCCCCAGTGCCTTGCGGTTGAGCGCAAACACGAAGGGGATGTTCTGCTCACAGGCACAGTCGATGATGGTGTGCAGGGTGTCATCCAGCCCGCCTGGTGGACAGACAGAGAGGGTGGGGGCTGCTGTTACGGGGGGCTGGCCGTGAAGCCTCTTCCCACAGGCAGAGGGACTGCAGCTGCTTACCACACACAAGTCAAGGGTCGTGACGGAGCATGCTAGAGGGAGTTTCCTCACTCCCAGTCATGTGGAATAAAAGAAATTCTCAAAAAGACACTTTGCTGGTGTAATAAATACATCTACGTTGTGTCAACAGCTAGCAATACAGCTAGTGAAAAAATGAAGCTTGATGACCATTTGCTGAACACGTGCTCTGTGCCAGGCCTCACTGTGCCCTGGGCATATTACTGTTCTCTGTGCCCCCATATCCCTGAGGTGGGAAGCTGATGGAAACCCAGAGCACAGAGAAGTCACTGCATCTCCCACCCCACATCTCTGCCCCAAACATGACCTTGCTAGGGTTCCCCACCACTGCTCCCCGCCACGCCCCCCACCGTAAGGTGCCAGGAGAGGCTCCGTGAGCAAAGGGAGGGCAAGGGTCGTCAGCCTACCTGACAGCCAGAAAGCCAGAAGCACCGACCACTCGGGCCACCTGGGAGACACCAGTGAACACGCCACACCAACCACTGCCTCACGCGTGCAGCCAGAGGGAGAAATGACCCCTCACAAAAGCAACGGAAGCTCTCAAGAGGAAAGCATACACTTATCAAGAAACATGGCATCTGGGGAGCAACCCGGCATCATATTAAAACAGCAGGAACAGAAGGAGCCAACACTACCAAACAGTGATCCAAACACCCTGTTAGCCAGCCTGAAACAGAGCAACACCCCATGGATCTTTGTAGAAAGTCTTTATACCAACACAAGACCACTTCTTAGAAAGGAGCTTCGTGTCAGGCTAGCGTCGCCACGGGGTAGTGGCATAGGTGCGGGGAAAGGTGGAGGGACCGTATGGCGCTGAGTCGTAGGGGCCGTGGCGGAGGAAAGGCAGAGGGGCGGCTGGGCCAGCTTTTGGCGAGACCCACCTGGCGTGGGAATAGAGCCTACCTCAACAAAAACAGGGAAGAGGGCCCTCCCTGGTGGTGCAGCGGGTTAAAGCGCAGCACTAGGAAGCTGCTGACGGCTGCTTCTGTGCAAGTTTGATCCCTGGCCGGGAGCTGACCCACATGGCACAGCAGACCCGCTGCTCACCCATCTGCCTGTTCTGCTCCCCCTCTGTCTCTGGTGCATTTTCTCACCACCCCTGCACTCTGGCCTGTATGCATAAAGAAATCTTAAAAAAACAAAAAAAAACATGGAAGAACCAGGAAATTTATAAAATTCTAATAACCTAATGTGCTTCATTTTGCACTCTAACTTAAAAGTTGTTCATTGTTCATTTGGTCCTACCTAATTACAATTTTTAAGATAAGGGAAAGAAACGGAATGGTTTCACATACAGTACAGTCTGTACATTAGTCACATACAGATAAAGACTTTGTCCGTCCCGTGATGTCATCCAGACATTCACATGTGCTATAGACTGTCCAAGCGCCATTCTTTGTTCTATGAAATTTGACATCAGTGTCTTGAGTAAAAGGTCGCTATAACTTAAGTCTAGTGCTTCTTTACTGTGATTTGGACAAGGGTAAGACACAAATCAAAGGATTTTAAAGGTGATAACAGGGTCTCATTCATTTATTCATAGAAAATTTATTTCCTACTCATCTCAAGGGAAAGAGAATATGACTAAAGAGATGAGTTAGGCTTTTGACATAAGTCTGCAGTTTATATTAATTTTGAGAAATGTGTATTTGTGAACTCTTATGCAGTGGAATTTCATAAAATGAATAAACTTATTTCTATTCATTGTGATATATCTTTTTTTTAATGGGAAAATGTCATGACTTTTAAACTTCTGACATTTTCTGAAACAATAACAACTTCTAATAATCTTAGACTCAGAAGGTTGAAGAACCTGAAACCTAAATGCACTAAAATAAGCCAAAGACAGGCCCACACACATACCTGAAGTGTCTGCATGACCAAAAATAAGTTTAAAAATTTAGTAAACCACAAGCTAAAAAAGCACTTGCTGCTCTTACCCAAGGAACCAAATTCTTATTTAAAAAGAGGTACAATGTCAATATAAAAAAAAAAAAAAACAGCACCCCAAAAGAGAAACGGCCAGAGAATGAATCACAGAAGACACCACTCTGAAACAAGTGGAAGAAATTCACAAGAAAATGCTGCCTCACAAGGAACATGTTCATGACATCGCCCCAAGCGGGGGGCGGTCAGGAGGGAGCAGTGTGCAGGGGCAGTGCTGCCTTCGGGGGGTGGGTGGTGTGGGTCTTGGGTACAAACACACACACTGCAGAGCTGTGCGCAGGGAGCTCACACGAGCCAGAAATGCCACACACACAGCCGTGCTCCCAGCTGTCCCGAATACCACACGCTGTCAGTGAGGACGGAACCCCATGGCCCTTACTGAGCTGCCACACACAGGTCAGCGTGCTGGGGGGTGGGGAAGAACACCTGGAGACATACAGCGACGCTAAAGCAAGGTATAAACCAGGTCTTGGGTGATTTACTCTGTGGGGCTGGAAGAATCTGGGGGCTTGGAAGTAAGAAGTAATGGGCTGCTCCCCCCAGGATGAGTGCCAGGGTGTGGTGCACACAACTATCACCTGGACCCACTGCAAGGGATCTTCCCACTTCCCTTCAAAGAAGGAACTTCTCACCCCACCTCTTCCTCTCCGGGAAGTTTGATCGGGGCTAAAGCCCCCATCCTTACTTCTGTCCACCCTGCCTCAGATCTGAAGAGGGAGGGGGAAGAACAGTGACCTCAGGGGTATAAACTTTAAAGGAAAAGACCAATTCTCTAGAGTAGGAAAAGCGAGAGGCAGAGAACAGAGCTGGGGGATGGGTGTGCTGCACAGCTCTAGTTACAGCAACAAGGTTTTAGCTCGTCAGAGTGGCCAAGCCATACACACAGGCCACGCTGTCTCTCTCTCTCAAGGGCCCTGCCAATCCTGGAGTCTGTCCTGTCACACAGCAAGCGGAAAGAGGCCCAGCCAGCCGAGAAAGGCCAATAAAAACCCACAGCTCTTCTCTAGCAAGGATATACTTGTCAGACTAGTCAAGTTGCTTCTATCTCAAAGCAAACAAGTACAGGAATTGACATTCACACTAAAGCTGACAAACAGAAGTAGCACAACTTGGCTCCTCTGCAGAGAGGTGGCGAGAGTGCTGCCAGGGAAAGCCAGGTGGGCGGCCCCTTTCTGTGTGGCACGAGGACAGAAAATGAGCAAGGTGCGGGACACATATCCCAGCCCTCAAAACAGAACCGACCTCCCTGCGTCAGTGCGAAGGCCGTGCCACAGACAACCCACAACTCTGACTGGAGACAGAGGACTGGAGACAGACTGAACAAGCAAAGTGTAAATCGACAAAGTCCCAAGGTAGGGAGTATCCAGCTGCCAATCCCACAATCTCTATGGTGGGTGAGCAGTACCCCCGCCCCCACCCAGTTCCAGAGCAAACTAGCACTGTTTTCCTGGCACACAAGGCTACAGGGCCTCCGGAACCACGAGACAGTCACAGAGCAAGGCACTCAGGGACATGAACGCTGGAAAACAAGTTAATTGAAAACTAAAACAAAGCAGCACCAGGCGCTGACAGGCGAGGGGACGACGTGCCAGCAGACAAGAGGGTGTACCTTTCGACTGGATCTTCTCACAGTTAGGGGAAATGATGATGCATTTCAGCTTCCTGAGCTTCAGGTGTTTGAGAACCTCTCTCAGCCCCAGCACAAGTCGGCGTTTGGTCTTAGCCTTGACTGGATCTTTCTGGTACATACGGTCTTGGAAGCGGACCAGTTCTTTCAGGAGATCCGTGACACAGGCATCTACTTCTTTACTAAGCATCTGGCTGCAGTAACTGAAAGAAAGAAAACCGTCAGTGTCCCACAGCTATGCCACCGCGGCGCTGTGCCTGGCCACTCTGAGAGGAGTGGAGTGGACAGCGTGGCCCTGCTCTAGCATCACAGTGCATACGCAATCCTCACCCGGGCCAGACTCCTGCCCGACTGGATTTCACAGGGGAGGATGAGGGCACCCTCTCCCATTCCCAATTACAAGAACAAAACACATGCCCCAGGCTGGCCGTTCCCCATATGCCGCTCCACTGTGAACACAAACAGCTGGAGAGGCCCGCCTGAAGGAGAAGGCGAGACCAGAGCTCCCTCAGGAAGGACGGACAAACATTAAACCACACAGGGGAAGCAGGCAGTCACTCACTTCCCACTGTCCCCTGCAAGCCCAGGCTCCAGGGTGCTTCTGGTCCAGCGCAGGACAGAGGCGGACAGGCGCCTCTACCACAAACCTCTTGACTGGTACTGGCCACCTCCCCCCAGCAGGAGGGCAACAAGCTGGCACTTGCACTGAGGCTTTGCCACCATCTCAAGGTGGCAGACACAGATGCACCACACCAGGGGGCCATCACCCACCAGTCCCCGGGGGTGGCACCAACCACAGCTCACTCACTCCCTGAATCTCCGGCTGTGGATCTTGGGGTAGCAGGTGCTGTCAGGGGCCGGGGGGCAGGCCTCTGCCTCCTTCTGGGTCTTTGCCCCCAGCCACTCCTCAGACTTGCTCTCCATGGCAGGCACCTCGGACGCTGACACGGTGTCCGCCCCCCCTGTATCAGAGAAAGAATTATTCAGCATCTGGAACAGGCACCTAGGGGTGGGGGCACACAACGTCAGCGTCACAACACCCCATCGCCGCAGCAGCCAGACTCCACACGTGCCCACCACGCAGCCAGGGGTCTGACAGAGGCCTGAGGGGAGAGGAATGGCCCGGGACAAGCAAGTTCCGGTGGAACAGGCACAGCACCTTTCTGCTTTGCCTCAGTTTCCCTGTGGCAAAGTACTGATGTGACTCAGCATGTCAGCCACTTCAAAGCAGAAGGTTCGGGGGCCACATTTATTTTAAATTTTGAGACAACCTCAAGTTCCCAATCAGTTTCAAAGGTATGGTTTTTGCTCTGAATTTCTGCACTTGAATGCTGGAGCTGTTCCTTTATCAAATAATCCTTGTAAGAGTTGAGAATTCAAGTGCTTAAACCATGAGAGCCTTTAAAGGTATGTTTAAATGTACCCCCAAGTAACAGCTTAAGTCTCCCAAAAGTTACTGCAAAAGACTCAATTTTCAAGTGAGGGGCAGGGTCACCAGGTAAAGGAATTCAATAGCCAGGATAATGTTCACCGCTGCTGGCCTGCTCCTCACCTGGGGCTAAACCGGAAGGCACCAGCACACCAGTCAGGCAGAAGCTTCGATGGCTAGAGGGCAAGGGACCCCCGGATTCCACAGTCCGGCCACAGGAGGGAGTGCTGGCACCCCCATCAACAACCCCTGCACAGGCCATAGCAACACTCCTCCACCGCTGCCAAGCAGAAACGCTGCACACCCAGCTGCCACCTGGCACGCCCGCACACCCGGCACTACGCAGCAGGGGCACACTGCCAGAGTCCTCTGCCAGAAGTGCCAAGTCACTCCGGGTTCTGGCCAGGGCAAGGCCTCGGTGTGGGCTCTTGGGGCCATCAGGGCTCTTCTGCTTCCAAATCAGACACTCCCGTCACTCTAGAATGTCCCAAGCTGCACATTTATACTTGTGGGTGTGTTTTCTGAATGCGCCATTTAACAAGTGTTTTAACAGCGGCTTAGAGCATAACAAGCCTGCTTAAATCTCGATCTGCCTTTTTGTTTGACATCATCCATGTCTTACATGCTGTGGGAAAAGAGTTTGGCAGTTTGTGGTTTCGTTATCATGGTAACTTCAAGCTTGGAGGCTCATCTGCTCTGCCCCTCAGAGACACTACCAGAGCCAGAGCCCCACCCATCCAGCATGCCCCTGCAGTCAAGTCGGGAATCTGAAAACCGCTTTTCCCGGGGTCAAAGTTGAAGCTTTTACAAGAGGGTGGAGGCCAGCAGAGCTCCCGACAGTCTGCTGCACACATGCTGCCTCCAGTGAAACTTCCTTGAACAGTAAGCAAAAAGAAGCTGGTACCTGAGGGCTCAACCTGCTCCAAGGACTGGTCATCACCTCCGCTCTCAGGGTGTCGCACATCATCACTGGCAAAAGCTGGGCTCACCACGTTTTCCTGGAGACGCTGCTGCATTCTCTCTTGCCTTTCTTTCAAAATAATCTTGAAAGCCAAACAAAAAAATTAAATAGATAAATATTTCTACTTACAAGGAAGCACTCTGCAAAGTAAGGTGATAGGCCTGTTTGGTCCTTACTTCCAGGCCCTGGGGCTTGATCCAACTCTTCTGGTGGCCGAGGAGCAAGGGGGTCCCCAAGTACACAAAGCAGGGCACAGCACACTAGTCCCCCGGCCCTGGACCAGATCGCACTCCCCAACACCAAGGCCAACAGCCCCCACGCTGCTGTGAGCTTCCCAGGAACACACTGCGCCAGCCCGGCAGGACATCTGGAGCGGTCAAGACCCACACTCCAACAGCGGACAGAGCAGCAGGCTTTCCTGCTCTCCCCAGCAGCCAGGTACCACATACAGGGAAGGGGCCCACTTCCAGAGAATCAGAAGCACCTCTTGCTACAATGCATTCAAATAAAGACAGGGTATTACCACCTCATGTCCGGGTGCCAGCGAGAGAGCTATGGAGTCCCGGCCCCCACTGGCACAGGAAGCCACGCACCTTCTTCAGTGAGGTTGGTTTCTTGGCCTTGGGGACCTCCCTCTGCTTCCCCTTCTTCGTCAGAGGGGCACTGGAGTCCAAGGGGTTGTGCGGGGTCTTCACCTCACTGAAGCGGTGGCCCTTCTTCCCAGACGCCGCCTCTTTGGAGAGGACAGGCACGGCCCCGACTGCAATGCAATGGGGACACATCTCACAGCCATGATCGAGGACACATGCCTCCTGCCCACCCTTTGGGGTCACCCCTCAGACATGCTGGGCTGGGCGAGCGAGACCACCCATGCCATTCCAGTTGTCTTGCTCGTCCGTGCCATGCTGTCCCTTGGATAGTCTTTCAAATGGCCAAGGTATTCCATGAAGCCTAGTATTTCTGGCAAGAACCCAAAAGAACTGTCAGACCAAGTCAGACATTTAAATACAGGCAGGCTACATCTGTATTATTAAGGGAGAGAGGATCATCAGTTATAGATGCGAAATGAGGAGTTAGTATGATGTTCTCAGAGTGCTTCAAAATAAGTCAGGGTGAAAAAAGCAGGGGACAGATTTAACGAGATGGGCAAGATGTAGTTAAGTACTGGAGCCAGGTATTAGGGAAACAAAAGGTGACAAGCTGTGTTATCCCATTTCTCTAAACTGCCACACTAGGTAATTCAGAGAAAATGTACATGAGTGGGTGCCAGGGGCTGGGTTATGACGGCACTGGGAGATGAACAGTTAGAGGCTTTTTTTGAGGTGATGAAACAGCACAGTGGATGTACTAAACGCCACTGATCTGGATACTTCAGATGGGTTGCTTTTCCACGGCATGAATTTCACTTTTTGTTTGTGATAAACAAAAGAAATGACATACACGAGTAAATCTCAAAACTGTGCTGCCAGAAAGAAGCCTAAGAAGAAGTGCAGGGGCCAGATGCTTCCAGGAAACACAGAGCCCACGATTCCATCACAGGTGTACATATACCACTTCGTTTATTCATTCAAGGGCGGATGGACAACTGGGGCGTGGGCACCTTCCGGCTCTCAGGAAAGACACTGCTGTGGGACACTGGCGCCCGAGGGGCTCAGTCTGTTCCTAATGCTTTTGGGTGAGCAGGAGTAGAACTGCTGGCTCGGATTAGTTGTTCAGCACATTCCGCCCCTCGGCAGGCGCTCCACCGTTCACAGCACCAGCAGCAATGCACAGGAGCGAGTTTTGCCCATGCTTGGTGTCTTCCATGGTTTCGATTACAGTCATCGCGCCAGGTATGAAGCACCCTCTCTCCGCGGGCCCGATCTGCACTTCCCTCATGACTACAATGCTGGGCAGGTTTCCTGTGTCGTCAACCATTTGTCTTTTCCAGCCCTTTATGCACTTTAGTGGTGTCTGTCTTTGCTGCTGAGTCACAGAAGTTCTTACATACCTGGCTACCCTCATTAGATACACACTTTAGATTTTTTTTTTCCTTCTAAACTCCTCTACAGCAGTCTCTAAGGAGTCTTTTCACTTCCCTGATACTGCTCCCTGCTACACACGAGCTTTTAATTTTGATAAGATGCAATCTACTTTGGCCTTTGTAGCTGTATTTTGGTGCCCCATCAGAAGAGTCACTGTCTAGCCCAAGGTAATGCAGATTTATCCTTGTTTTCTTCTCAGAGTTTTTCAATGTTAGCTCTTACACTTAGGGAAATGATCCACTCTGAGCTCATTTTTATATATGGTATGGGATGAGGGGTCCAGCTTCATCCTTGAGCATGTAGAAACACAGGTGTCCCAGTGCCATTTTGGAAGATACTGATCTCTGTTCTTCTAATGAATTTATTAGCACCCTTTGTCAAAGGTCCCCTGATCACAGGTATGTGGGTTTATTTCTAGACTCAATTCTGTTTCACTGGTCTATATATAGCTACCCTTACTCCACTATAATACTGCTACGATTATACAAAACCAAACTTTAATGTTTATGTAGGTGACATAATTTAATTTGTGGGTATATGGATAAAAATATGTGTATGTATTTTAGAAATGACTTTTGCTTACAAGAGAAAACAGTCCCAAAATAGTGTGAAGGCCACCTGACCACCGGCCTGAGATGAACAGCCTCTCACCTGAGAACACCACTGGCTTGGAGGACTGCTTCGCATTCTGGGCATGCTGCTTCTTCTCCAGGGCTGTCAGCATTCCCCCCAAATCCAACTGGACAGGAATTTGGCTCTTCTTTGCACTGTTTTTAAAGTTATTCTAAAAAATTTTTAAAACCCAGAAATTTGTTAATACCATAATTTTACCAACTGAGCTTTTCAATTGTACAAGTCATATACTTAAAAATACTATAAGCGTGGCCCTCCCTGGTGGCACAGCGGGTTAAAGCACTGCACTAAGAAGCTGAAACCACTTCCGCATGAGTTCGATTCCCGCCTGCCCCGGAGGTGACCACATGGCGTGGCAGACCTCTCC